AATTCCTGGTACCAGGCTTGAATGTTTAGAATTGTGAATTCCTGGTACCAGGCTTGAATGTTTGGTATGGTTAATTTCTGGTACCAGACTTGAATGTTTAGTATGGTTAATTCCTGGTACCAGGCTTGAATGTTTAGTATGGTTAATTTCTGGTACCAGGCTTGAATGTTTAGTATAGGTTAATTCCTGGTACCAGGCTTGAATGTTTAGTATGGTTAATTCCTGAGACCAGGCTTGAATACTTAATGTGGTAAATTCCTGGTACCAGGCTTGAATATTTGAAGTCACAGCGTTTGAGATATGGTGAATTCCTGGTAAAATTTAGAAGTACCACAATGGAATCTAAAAATTGTTGATCACTAACGGTGCCTTTGCACTTCTTATATATATATATAGATAGATAGATAGTTACACACCTTGAATATATTCCATCACTTCCTATCCCTTGCTCTATATCTACAGTAGACATGTGCACATGGTTGAACTCTTACTACATGTACTGCCTATAATGACCTAAAACGTGACAACTGTGTTGTTGAGACTGCATTCTCAATTTATTTTAGACTGTGGCTCACAAGCACATGAGTGTTAGCCAGATTGAAGATGATGAGGTAAACTAATACCCAGCTCTGCTCTGCTCTGCTCTGCTACGAGTACAGGCAGGGTGGCTAGTACAGGATCATTTCATACATGCAGTGGACTTAGTCTATGTACAACCTCTAAAGGTCACACATCCTGGCATTTTCCATGACCCTCAAAGGTCACATTTTTTGTCATAATTTTCTATATTACTGTGAAATACTTTATTTTAGCTGGAATTAAGACTTTTTGGGTGTTTTGTGTGGAATTTATTTTCACTGATTTTTGATGAGTTGAATGTGAAATATAGGAAAAAAGATATATTCGCTGGATTTTATTTTCACCTTAATCATTTCTCCAGTGAAAATAGTGCAAAATTAGTTGCAAGCGAAAATAAAGTATTTCATAGTATATGGTACCTTAGGTTAAATTTCAAGTCAACATTCAATAAAAAACATTGAGAATTCTGATTAATAGTGAATTAGTTTCCAAGAAAGAATCAGGATGTGTGACCTTCAGGGGTCAAGCATAAGGTCTATTGAGTGTCGCATGGCTGTCTGCCATGATCATATTCATGCATGTGATTACATGTACTTCATACTCTATAGATTTATCACTGTAGTGAGAGCCTCATTCTGAAATGATATGCAAATGAATTCCTGTGATTGCTTCATTCCCTCTATAGATTTATCACCATGGTGAGAGCCTCATTCTGAAATGTTATGCAAATGAGATCATGTTTTTGTTTCCTTTTAAGGATACTGCCTCGTTCAGCAGACTGTTCCATCAAAGAGAATTATGGGTATTTTTCAGGGCAAATTGAAACGTTTTTGCTATTGCTCATGCCACTTTGCTCCGAAAAAGAAATATAATTCTTAGAACAGTTTGTCTAAACATGTGGTTCTCTTCAAAAAGATCTATTGCTTCTACTCTTTAGATTTGTCACCATGGTGAGAGCCTCAATCTGGAATGTTATGTTATGCAAATGAATTAATGTTATTTATAGGAGTCAGAATGAGTTGTTAATGCCCTTTAATCAATTAGGTGCATTAGTTTAGAATAAATATCAAATACACATTAGAACAACACAGTAAAGAACATTCATTGACTTGTTCTCATTTGCATGCCAACTCATTTGCATGTGTTCTCATTTGCATGCCAACTCATTTGCATGCCAACTCATTTGCATCCCAAACTCTTTTGAATGCCAACTCATTTGCATCCCAAACTCTTTTGCATACCAATGTCAGATTGTATCAAAAAAAAAAAACTGTAGTAGAAATTGTTCCCCTCCACTTTATTGCTATGTAAAATTCGCTGTACTAGTATCCTCTATAATTATTTTGGGATTAGTTTGCCTACCTCATATCTTGAATTATAGCCACATTTAAAAGCCTGATCTATGTCAATGATGTCATCTCCAAACCTTGGCATTGGACATGTACACACACCTATGTTGCTGTAGATTCTGGCTTCAGACCTGTTTCTAGTTCGTTCTGTTCTCTGTATATATCCACCTGGTGATACAGCATTGTTGTCTTTGCAGATTAGTGACAAATATACATCAATAACTTTCATTTCCACTGTAGTAATACTAATTAACTTGTATCTTGATATACTGATCCAATAAGTCTGCTTCTCTAGTGACGATGCATTGCTGTCCGGTATGTAAATGTTGTAGATGGGTGAAAACCTTATCAGTTACATGCAAAACTTTTGTGCGTTATCATTTTATTGCTTGTAATTTGGAATATAGTGCTATTTAAAAAAAAACAGCATTTTGAATTGCACAGTGGGTGGAAATAAGTTTATTTGTTAGCCACGCTTGTTCCTGGCTGCAAAAGTACAGGGGAATTTTAAGATAATCATCCCTTCAGCAAAAATAGCGAAAATAAAGTATTCTACAGTATCTACATGTACTGGTACTGCACAATGATGTTTTGTCGCTAGATACTTATTGGAAAGGTGTATTATTTACACATGCTAATATATTTAGTTAAACTGTCACTTATAAATATCCCTGGCCATTATCATCTTGGGGCAGCACTGTTCATGTTGCTTATACTGTACTTTTCTTCAGCATTTTCTCTATCATTATCGACATCTTTAGCCTTAGACATATTTTGCTTTTGTAAAACACACTGAAATAACTACATGCCATTTTAGCGAATTTGACTCAATACATGAATTAACAAAATCTTAATTTGGCTAAAATGCCAACAATCTCATTGTGAGAATATACTTTATTCTAAATTAGCGACATCTTGAATTAGCAAAATTACAGGTTAGCTAAATTAGCTAAAATGAAATGCTAGCTAAAAAGACGTGTTTTACAGTAGTAGCCTTACCACTTGAAAGTGTTTGAAATAGGCTTTTGGGGAATGTCATCAAATGTTTACAACTTCGCCTTTATTGACAAAACAATTACATCATCAGTAGACCATCAAAAATTAAGAAAATATTTTGTTGTTAGCAATCTGTCCATTCCTTGGATAATATTTTTGCGAATTTTTATTAAAATACAGTGAATAATCAAACCTGTAAATGAAAAATCTAGTGACTATTCTTTGCAACAGGTAAAAATTGAATCCAGTGAATAATTCTTCTTTTTCAGTTATGCTCATTTTTATTTATAGTCATGCTTCTTCTTTAATGTCTACTTTATAGTACAGTTTTCACTTTCATTGGTCATTGACCTGTTTCCATGCCTCATTGTTGACCATATTTCTTCTGAAGCCATTGAGAATTACTTTTTATATTTATTTCCATTGATGTCTAGGAATTTGCCAGACTATTACACGAACAGGAGAGTAAAAGGAAGAGTAAACATCTTCCGAAAGATATCTCTGAACTCACCGCACATGATGAAGACATTGCCAGGAAAATGCAACAGGAGGAACAGTTGATGGCGAAACGTCATCAGTATAAACGGCATCAGAAGAAAGTCTCCGCTGAAATAGCAGATCCAGATGTAAGAGTTTGTTGAATATTTAAATGATCATTCGCCCGTCCATCTGTCTGTCCTTCAATTCGTCCATGTATTCCAGACTCTGTTTGACCAATCTCATTCAAACTTTATACAAAAACATTTTAAAACATACTGATTTGGACATAAAATTTCTAATACTCAGCTGCTGTTTCTCTCAGATGTCTATCACAATTTAGATCAAAGTTGGTATGATGATCATAAAAATTGGATTACAGGTGCAGGTCATTATTTTTCTAGACTTGAACAAATCTGGCTTACTGGTGGTCACTTGGTTTCTTATGGTATACATGTCAGTTTTGCCTGAATGCAATGATCATTTTTGTTCAATCTTAGTGCATAGATAGTATACCAAAACATACATCAGCATTAATATTATTTTTTTTAAATTCAATATGGCTAAAAGTATTGATGTAAAATCACTAATTCATCATTGTTGCCGTTTCTCCGAGAAGACAAGGACTCAAAGTTGTTATGGTGATTATGCATATTTGGTTACTGGTGCTCGACTTTGTTCAATTTGATTGGTCGATTGGGCACCTTGGACAAAATGGTGGCTATTTTAGCCCCTTAAGAATAAACAAAAAATGGACATGTCAGTGTTTTTGACATTTTGATTCAAAATGAAAAGGCAGCCACTTACCACATTTTGTGCATGCAAAATTATTTCTTGATTCTGCCATGATTGATTTTGTTTATTGCTGGTAAAAAGATTAAGCTTGATACAATACAATGATGTAATGACTTGATATAATGACACAAATAAATTGTTCATTATTTCTCAAACATATATTAAACATTTTTACCAAGTGTAATGCCATAGACATGAACCTCAAGTTGCTTTACTTTCACTTCTGATCTGTTTTTCTTTGTCGAGCACACAAAGGCAAAATTTTACAAGGACTATGCCATTTTCAATGACCATTTTCATTGTACCAGCATCATTAATTGAATTGGTTCAATGAAATATTTGATTGTTTTGCAGCCCTTAGTGCCACTACATGGAGATCATCACAGACAGCATTCTGTTCCAGCCAGGATTAAGTATGGAGACGGAGGCATTACATTGAAAAGTTACACTAAACAGTCTGTAAGTTAATATACAGTTATGCCATCTCATACCACCCACATGTTTATGAGGTCGTTGTTTATGCCAATATTAAAAGAATTCCTTTTACGTGAATATATGCATTCCCGATTTGATGTGTAACACTTTGTATATAAGTGTTATTTTTTTTGTGATAAATTCTACATTATTACTCTAGTTTATAAAATGACAACTACAATTTAACAATAATTGTTGTGAATGTCTGTATCGAGATGGGGGCTGACAGGGCTTGAACTGCTAGTCCAAACTACTGCTTCCAATATATTGCTGGAAGTATTAAGTTACACTACTGTATATGACAGCTATGTTGATTATGTTTTGACTTGACCCACCATTCCTGCATGGTGCGCACATTCCTCCTCACTCTTGTCACCTTTTGACATACCTCGCAAAACATCATCGATCTACATGTTCATAGTTCAAATGTGTGGCAAATTAAAAATAGCAGACTACTGGAAAATGTTGACACAATTCTACAAAAATATCCAAGTCTTGTTTTTCAGAATCAAATTTCAAAAATATTGAAGGGAAAACTTCATGTTTTTAATTGTACTAATTTTCTAATCGAGGGCATCTTACATCTAGATTTAATACTCAGTTCAAAATGGAAATAGGAACATCTTTTTATTCTATCCTTGCTAGTAGATTGAAGTATTGTACCGCAAATCAAAATATCAATAAGTTGTGTCACTTATTAATCCATTCCATTCTCACCAGTTACTGAAATTTACAAACAGTTCTTATACGTTGTTAAAATTGTTATATTTTTTAACAGATTGTGATTAGTTTCTTTCAACCTGTAACTTATTTCTCTGTCTTCTTTTCTTTTCCTACTAACATTGTAATATGACCAACTTCCCTTACAGAAGAAGCGAAAATCTAAAAAACGCAGTGCTCCTAGCAAAAACATGATGACCAGGCCTAACCGTATACCAGAAGTATACGAGTATACACTTAGTAATAGTTCCTGCCTGACACGTTGTCCAGTTCATGGCTGTATCACTGCATTACCTCCATATTACATGCTCAAGCAGGACGATTTCATTTCTGTTGACCACAATCAGACTACTGTTGTTTCTGATGAATATACCAGGAGCATGACTGTTCTCTCTGATGAACACCTTCTGGGCAGGACTGTTGTCTCAGAATCAACAGACTTATGCCCAACTGCAGTTATTTTCTGTGACCAAATGCTAACACCTGAACCAGATCTTATATCAGATCACAGTGTCTCATCACAGTCTGTCAGTTCCCTGAATAATGCTCAAACATCTAACAGAGATAAACATCAGCCATCAATTTGTACAGATCATCAACATGCACATGATTCAAACACAGATGTTGATCCTGTTTCAAACAAAGCTAAAAGAATTTCTCAGCTTTTCACTGAACTAGAAAAGGTTGGCGTGTTGCAGGCAATAGATGAGACTATAGTCTCCCCAACCCAGTCCGTCAGCAGCAAAGCCCCCATCAAGCAAAAGTATGGAGAGTTCTGGATTTGTGAAGATGAAGAATTTGTTTTCCGTCGAACTCAAAGCTTCACACAGAAACTTAAAAATGTAATCAGTAGACCAACAAGAAGATATTCATCACAGCTGAATTTAGCTTCTTTGAGTGAAGCTCCTGTGGTTTTAAAGAGTAGTCAACGGCTGGATGGATCAAATTCAGAGGTGGCTAAAATTGTCTCAGATGTTGGAAGGGCTACATACCAACTGGATGATTCAAAGTTGACAGTTCTCATTGCGGACGGGACAAAACATAACTTTAGCGGGTCTGAACAGATGCTTTCGCACGCCTCTGAAAATGAGGTTCTTCCAGACTTGTCTAAGGAACCCCATGCTCAACAAAAACAGAGTTGCAAACACAATGCAAATAGTGAGAATGATGATGCAGATGAATTGATATTGTGCAGCAGTGATAGGGACACAAATGATATGAACTTGATGAATGCATGTGTTACTCCCTCCATAGTAATTCTGGATGAAAATGAAAGTGGCCAGGATGTGAATGAAGGTATTAAATGCATGCATCAGAGGAAAAATTCTACAGATATATGTGCATGTTCCAGCAATAACAAGAATTTAGTAATGAACAAGGGCACATGTTCTTCTAGTAGTCAGGAGAAGCTGACTAGACCAATCTCACCATCAAAACCTTTACCAGAATACATGTCACTGGATACAAAGCATAGAGACTTCCCTTCTACAGAGATAGATGAATATAACTTACCCATCCAGTCATGCACCAGTTTGGATGACCAAAGCACAACGCACAGAGACTCTCCTTCTACTGAAATGGAGGAACTTAAAAACAAAATCACCAAGCAAAGCAACTTGCCAACTACACAGATAGATAAACACAATCCTTGCATCCAACCAATCTGCAGCTCTGATGATCTAGTTACAAAGAATGGAGACTTTCCATCTACAGCGACAGATGAACATAACCTTTCTATCCATTCATGCTGTAGTGCTGATGACCAAATCACTGAGCATAAGAACTTACCTTCAACAGAGTTGGGTGAACATAATTCTCCCATCCAGTCATTCATTGATTCTGATGATCAAATCACAAAGCATAGTGACTTACCAACTACAAAGATGAATGAAGATAATCCTTGCATCCAGATTATCTGCAGTTCTGATGACCAATTCACAACAAATAGAAACTTGCCATCTTCAGAGATTAATGAACATATCCAACCCATCCAGTCATCGTACAGTTCTGATGACCAATTCACAGAACTTCAATTGCTTCCAGACAGTCCAAATCTCTCAGAGATTGAAAGTTTATGTACATGTGGTTTTACCACAGATTTGACTGATTCATCATCACCTGGTCATCGAGTTGACACACCTTCAAGTAATCCACTTCCTTTTTGTGCAGACTCTGAACCTTCACCATGCTTTGATGACTCTGTCTTTGTAACTCCTACCAGAAGGACTACCCACAGTGAAACATCAAAGAACCATGCTGAAGGTGGAGGTGATTTTGTCTGTCAAGAAACTTCTGTGGTAAACGTTGATGATGAAGCTTTCTCAGAACCTGGTAGTGAATCTAGCTCATCTAGCTCTGATGATGAATCTTCCCATCGACTTGTCAGTATGGATTATGATGGTGATGATTCTGCTAGTGATGATAATTTAGATTACACCTTCATGAACCATTTGAGAACTAAACATCCACCTGCCCAAAACTGCATAATGCTAACACAGGATTTTTTCTCCCCTAGCAAAGATGTTTCCAATGATAGTCTATCCCAGAATGTTTCTGGAATGGATGACTCCTCCAGAAGTGCAGAAGGTACTCATATTGAAACACAGCAAATTGATAATAGTAAATCTTGCTCTGAGGTACTCGCCAAAAGTATTGCTGTAACCACAGAAGATGATCATGATGCCAACAAGCAAGGCATGAAAAGCGACACTGATGTTTTAGAGAGGTCACATGTCAGTTCGCATAGAAACACAAACTGTGGTTCAGACACTCGTGCCTGTGTTCCTGGTTTAAGTGCTAAGATGGAAAATTCAAAGGGAAGTTGCTCTGACAATGATAAGATTGATCTTATTGAAGACCCTTCATATGGAGGACCACATCCTGTGCTCAGTGAAAATCCATTGTGTGTACACCTACCCTCTACTGTTGTGATTGAAGACACTTCATGTGGAGGCCCTTCTTGTGAAGACCTTTTATGTGCATGCCCACCTACTGCTGTTTTAGGTGAAAACCTTCCAAAAGTAGGACCCTCTCCAACTGAAGATAAGCCTCCTGCTTATTCTATGAAACTGTTATCAGGTGAAATCACAAATGAAAACGACAATCTTGCCTTCATGATGCGTAAATCTGTGAATGAGAGTCATAAATCAGAACTGGTATCTGTGAAGGAAAATCACAGGTTAGCTGATTCTGTTGAATCAGCCACAAATGACAATGATTCTGAAAGTCCATCTGATGAGAGTGCTGATGTTGTGGCTGAGTTGAGACAATTGGCAGATCCTTTTTCTGTTCAATGTAATGCAGATCTATGCAGTGTAAACAAATGTAGCAGTTATGCAGTTTCTAGTGAACCTTCCAGAGAGGGACCAAGTTTCGTAGGTGTTAAAAATGGGAAACTGATGACGTCTTTCACTCAGAGCAAGAAGTGGAGTCAAAATACAAGTGATATGCTAAGTTCTAGTCAAGTGTTGGGAAAGAAACCTCCACGTGCAGAACTGGTGCAGAATGTTTCTCTGGTACAGATTGAGAAACATAAGAAGCATGTGGATAGACCACAAAGTATGCATAGTGGAGTAGTGTCAAGGTGCAGATCAGTTGGAAATCTGGCATTAGCACCTGTGCACGAGAATGAAAGTTTACATTTACAGTCCATTGGTAAGAATAGTAGAAAATCTGCTGCCACCTCGTCTGTTAACCATGGTCCTGTCATGGGTGTGGCACGACTACGACAGAAACGATGTGCATCACGCAACTATAGACACAGTTACCATGAAGGCGTGCATCTGCAGCACGATCCATGGGTACCCCAGAAGCATGACAGTTCTAGCACTAGTGCTGTTTCATTGCCAGGTTTTGCTGCTGTCAGGGAAATACCAGAAGAAGTGTGTGCGAAAGTAAAGACAATAAATTCAGATAGTACTCATAAAGATAATGCTGTGTCAACATCAGTTAACTGGGCCACCCTTGCCAATAAGTCAAATAATGCTAAGAAGAATCATTTACAAAATAACCCTGTGAAGACTAACATAGTGTCTAACACTGTTGGTAATCAACAAGGCATAAATAGACTATCCGTACATTCAGGGGAAACTGGTCCTATTAGTAATTCTGCTTCACCCACTACTGTACAACCTCCACTCACTGACAAACCCACAAACCATACATGTGATCTCAGTATCCCAGCATCCAATTTGATTGTATCGCATTTTTCTCCATCTCCACAGGGTAGGCCGTCCTCTTGCAGAGATTACAGCGCTCACTGCGAAACTCGCCATCACATTATTAACAATGCTTCAAATTCTCCCCAGTTTGATACTGGTTACCATAGCAGCAGATTTGCTTCCAAATCTGCTTCTCATAGCAACAAAGCAGCTGACACATTTCGCTCTGGTCGCAGCGTATCAACTCATGAGGACAAAGCATCAATTAACACACCATCTCATTCTCGTCCACATTCTCTTTCATACATTTCACAGGAGGATTATCCTCGACATCATCACCATCATTCTCTGCCAGCCAATTCACAGCCGCCCAGTAGTTCATATAGGCATCCATCGCCTAATGGCAGCTATTCCAGCAGTACATCATCCATCACATCACCGGGGCAAATCATAGACATTGCAGCCACATTAGATCCGACATACCGACAAGATCAAATGTATCCACCACAAGATGTACAAGGGGTCACATTAATCAAGAAAACGCCATTAAATGAATCATTACCACCAGGTAGGTCCTTAATTTCTTCAATTCATGTACTGTCTTCAGCACATCTCTGATGAAAATGTGTATCCTGATTCTTTTTAGGATACATTGAATAAATGGTGTGTTTCTGATAACCAAAACGTGCCTTAAACTTTTCACCACCAGTTTCCTTTTTTCATCATGAATTCACTTTCCTTCAGAAGATTGGGTACAAAATATCCAAATTGTTTGAGTGGAAATTGACTCAAATTGTGTCTATTGGTGCCAAAATTAGGGTTGATTTCCAGAAATATTGAAGAATGTAACATAAAAGTGCAGAAAATTTTGGGTGAGAGTCTGGTGGGGAAAAAGTTAATTTCACATGGTGACCTATGTATCCTTTATGGCCAACAGTAGTCGCTGGATGATCCTCACTTTGTTTTGTGTTGCATGTTAGATTGATTCTTAACATAATATAAACATTTTATTTTAAAATACTTCTATATAATACAGCAGCATGGACCAACAAAATTCGCATAATCTACAATAACTTTACAAAACAAAACAACAATTACATGATTGCAGTAAACAAATATGGCAAATAAAAAAGTTGTGCTTACTTTATTTTTATTTGAATGCTTACCAGAAACACACTATTTGTTTATTTAGTCTATTGAAGTTCACCCACACTAAAAATGCATGTAAATGTTTGCTATTAAAATGCCAAAAGCAGTTGGCCATCATTAAAAAATCTTTGTACATTGTACAATAGAATATTATTCATTTGAAAATTAACCAACTAGTTATTCGTAAATACTCTCCCAATTTTCATAATAGCAAACACTTTGGCTAGAGAAAATAGTTTTTTATTAGTTTCAAAACGTTCTTATTTATAGTGTCAATACCATGTATATTTTGCAAAATGCTTCTTGTGATAAACCTACAGTACACCACAAAGCAGTCCAGTTAACTGTACTGTCACTAACTATAGTTATCAATGAATAACTGCTAATTTATTCACTACCATAATGCATATTTATCAATATTAATTTATTCCTCATCACCATACATATTCATCAATGCTAATTTATTCACCACCATCATGCATATTCATCACTGCTAATTTATTTATTGCTGAGAATATTCATCAATGCTAATTTATTCACCACCATCATGCATATTCATCAATGCTAATTTATTCATTGCTGAGAATATTCATCACTGCTAATTTATTCACCACCATCATGCATATTCATTACTGCTAATGTATTCATTACTGAGAATATTCATCAATGCTAATTTATTCATTATCATCATGCATATTCATCACTGCTAATTTATTCATTGCTGAGAATATTCATCAATGCTAATTTATTCACCACCATCATGCATGTTCATCAATGCTAATTTATTCATTGCTGAGAATATTCATCACCGCTAATTTATTCACCACCACCATGCATATTCATCAATGCTAATGTACTCATTGCTGAGAATATTCATCAATGCTAATTTATCGACTAGCATCTTGCATATTCATCACTGCTAATTTATTCATTGCTGAGAATATTCATCAATGCTAATTTATTCACCACCATCATGCATATTCATCAATGCTAATTTATTCATTGCTGAGAATATTCATCAATGCTAATTTATTGACTAGCATCATGCATATTCTTCAATGCTAATTTATTCTTTATTTCTATTATTCATGGCCATCATGAATAGCTATCTTCTAATTTATTCATGACCATCATGAATATTCATTTCATAATTTATTCATGGCCATCATGAATAGCTATCTTCTAATTTATTCATGACCATCATGAATATTCATTTCATAATTTATTCATGGCCATCATGAATAGCTATCTTCTAATTTATTCATGACCATCATGAATATTCATTTCATAATTTATTCATGGCCATCATGAATATTCATCAATGCTAATGTACTCATTGCTGAGAATATTCATCAATGCTAATTTATCGACTAGCATCTTGCATATTCATCACTGCTAATTTATTCATTGCTGAGAATATTCATCAATGCTAATTTATTCACCACCATCATGCATATTCATCAATGCTAATTTATTCATTGCTGAGAATATTCATCAATGCTAATTTATTGACTAGCATCATGCATATTCATCACTGCTAATTTATTCATTGCTGAGAATATTCACCAATGCTAATTTATTCACCACCATCATGCATATTCATCAATGCTAATTTATTCATTGCTGAGAATATTCATCAATGCTAATTTATTCACTACCATCATGTATATTCATCAATGCTAATTTATTCACGTACATCATGAATAGCTATCTTCTAATTTATTCATGGCCATCATGAATAGCTATCTTCTAATTCATTCATGACCATCATGAATATTCATTTCATAATTTATTCATGGCCATCATAAATAGCTATCTTCTAATTTATTTATGACCATCATGAATATTCATTTCATAATTTATTCACCACCACCATGCATATTCATCAATGCTAATGTACTCCTTGCTGAGAATATTCATCAATGCTAATTTATCGACTAGCATCTTGCATATTCATCACTGCTAATTTATTCATTGCTGAGAATATTCATCAATGCTAATTTATTGACTAGCATCATGCATATTCTTCAATGCTAATTTATTCTTTATCACCATACATATTCATCAATGCTAATTTATTCACTACCATCATGTATATTCATCAATGCTAATTTATTCACTACCATCATGTATATTCATCAATGTTAATTTATTCACTACCATCATGAATGTTAATAAGTTCATCTGCATTCAATCAATAAATCAATCTTGTTTCTTTTTAGTATTCACACCAGATGATGATGATGATGATGACTTTTATCCTGGTATCTCAGAGACTGATAAAAACTTTGCACCAATCCAGGGTACAAGAAGGAAAAGTGACAGCAAGAAAGAACGAAAAAACAAAGGACTCTTTGGAAAACTGAAGAAAAAGAAGAATTAACATTTTATTAATGATCAGACTATGCATAATGATGAGTTTATTTGAACTATTCAAACTTGCCCAGTTGTACCTGTAATCATGACACTAATTGACAAGAATATGTACAAAGTAATAGAACATCTGGAAATAATATACTAGCCTCACTTCTGTAGCCTAAATCATTGTCACTTTGTCAACAAGGCCGTTTGGGGCTATAACTAAATAATCATATACAGTACTTTACTACTTTATCTGTGAATGCAATCATGTATTTTCATACTGTTTATCAGATACCAATAGATTGTTTTCCGTTGACTGCGAGATCCCGTGTTATGTGTGAAATCAAATGAAAAAAACAGGACAAACAAAGGTCATAGCGTCAAGGTTGCTTCTGAACATCGCTAGGGGTTCGTCAAATGCAAAAAAAAATATTACAATAATGTGCTATACACATTTAATGATGATGATTTCTATAAAGTAAGGGTATCTCAACGCAGTATTTCCCTCAAGGATTGCCATGAGCTATAAAAAATGAAATTCAAAATTCAAAATCAAATCGTTTGATTTTTGTGACAGACAATTTTTGTGACGGTTCGCGCCTTTCACCCAATATGCGAGATATCAAGGTGAACGAAAAATTACTTATACCTCTGACATAATATTGTATGTCAGCTATTTCTCTGTGTTTGCAGTTTCAATCTTCTGGGTGAAATACAATCTCATCAGCCACTCCTTCTTTCTTCCTTATATATAAACAATACAAAGATTCCAGTCAAATTATGTTAATCAATTATAAATATCTATACAGATTACAATACTATTTCTACTGCTTTTTTAAAACAATATTGAGGAATTTGGGTCCACATTTGTGTCATAATTATCACTGAAGAATGCACTTATAGCTCACCTGGCGCTTTCATCATCACCATCATTGTAATTTATTCATGACCATCATGAATATTCACCTCCTAATTTATTCATGACCTTGATGCATATTCATTTCATTATCTATTCATGACCATCATGAATATCCATCTTCTAATTTATTCATCTTTGTTAAATCTGTTATTTGTTTTTCTGGATACTGTAAACCACTTTTATTTTCACAGAAAACACATTTTCCGGGTCAGTGAAAATCTGTAGATGATATGCACAGAAAATTAAGCCACATATTTTTCATGAGATTTCAGCATGAATCGTGCCATCCTACTGTCATATCCCCAGACATTCCACTCACATATTTAACAATAACTTCATTCAGCACAATAAATTGTTGGCTATATGTGCATATTTTTTACACATTTTGGGGGGTTTGATATTCCTTTTTAAAGTTTCCCCAAATTGTATTAAAAATAGTCACCATAAATTCCATTTGAAGACCAGTTCTAGTTTTACTCATTTTTGAGCAAACTCGGCACATCAAATAAGTCTTTGCTGCTCATTATTAAGGGTTGCAGTGTATCATTGTCGTCAATGACATCAACATTGTCAGTGACAACAACATTGTCGACAGTGTCGTTGACGTCACCATATTCACCACTGTCGTTGACGTCACCACTGTCGTTGACATTACAACCATGCGCATTTAATGTCAGTCAAATACCACATCTAGCAACATGTATACTTGTGAATTGAATGTGATGTTTTTTTTGTTTTGTTTTTTATAAATGTTTTTTGTGCCAGGCGACAGTGTCGGACATTCAATGTCACTGTTGTCTCTCCTGACTTTTTTTTTTGTATGTGCAAATTGCAAGTACTAGTGCTGACACATTTTGCCACAGAAGTCATATTCATATTTGGGACTTACATGACAGGGCTGTGCAAACATCTTCCTATCAAATGGCAATTTAATGTGCTATCCTGGCATCAACCAGGCTCAGTCAAACACAAGCACAAGCATTCGTTAGTGAATGAATCTCGGCCAGTTCCACTGGCCTTCCCATTGAGTCTGTGGTACACTCACCCAGGGTAGGGGTCGACCCTTTTGATGTTCAGCCTTAAGGTAGGATTTGAACTTGGGTCTACCGATCATGTGGTGTTTATTTTACAAAAAAATTATAAGCATGTAGTCTCTAATGATTATAGCACTGCAAAAAATACTGTTATGAAGAAAATTC